CCCCCCGGGGCCCGATCCGGCGGTGCCGGGGAACGGGCCTCTGGGGCAGGGGTTTCCCTGTCCCCCGGGGGGACTTGGGAAGCCTACATAGAGACCAACATTCAAAGCAGCCATTTTCCCCAGGAGGACTGATCACTGTCGTCTGGAGAACAGTTATAATTCTGGAAGATCTCCAGCAAGCACCTGGAGGCTGGCAACACTGAGGATGGGAGAAGGCCCAACTCCTGCCTTTCTCCCTGTGCTGTTTGCCCAAGCTGGAACCACTTGGTGGAGGGAGTTATTTCCCCCTTTTTGTCACGGCAGGACCAGGGGGCGTGACACAAGCAAGCAAAAGTCCAGGAACAGTCCGAGGTCAAGCCGGGCAAATCAGGTAGCAAGGTTCAAGCAGGTTTAAATCACAGTCCAAAAGCAGGGTCAGACATACCAAAGTTTCAAGTCCATAAATCACAACAATACCAGAGGAGTCAGAGATGAACGCAGGGTCAACAAAGCCAAAGGTCAAAAGCCGAGGATCAAGCCGAGAAGAATTCCACAAGGTCTGGAGCAGAGATGCAAGGATTCAGGTCCTGAACAAACGACGTTGCCAGCACAAATGACTGCTGGCAACAGACTTGCATATATACAGTGCTAGCTAATCAACTCATTAGCTAGCCAGGAGTGAGGACAGGATCCTGTCAGTAATCAGGGCTAAGAGATCTTCTGGCACGCATGCGTGCATTCTGCCTTCGCTCTGTCAGCTGTTGTCTTCTTACATTCCTGAGCCTGGTTACAGGTGGAGGCGAGTCTGATGATGAATTACTGGGCTGCAGCAGAGACTGATCCCTTGCAGGTGTTCCCTGGGAGGCTCTATCCTCCTCACCACTTAGATAGCTTTCAGCTACAGGATCCAGTCTTTGCCTTTCTGCTGCAGTACTGTCCTCAGGAGCCTGTTCAGGGGCATCAGCAAAGGCAGGCATGACATCAGCAGGGGCAGTCATGACAAATGTAAAGGAATTTGAAGGCGATTCAATCAAGGATCTCATCTAGTTGAGCGCTAGTAGTTGGAGTGGAGATTTAGCTACTACAACTAACTCAGCCACGGGTCAATTTGAATTCCTGACATTGAGCTTTTCCCTGCAAGACAAAGAGCATATGCAAAAAGAGGCTCTGAATGCCTTAGCACTCCCCACCTCCCAAACTGATGAGGAAGGCCAGATACCTCCTCCAGGCAGA